AGGGTTACCATGGGTCAGCATGGACTCAATGACAGTGCGTTTGATTTTCAGTCTTGATTCGGTGGGTTAACAATTTGGGTTGGATTTAACTGAATTGTTTAGCTAGTTTTTGGGGTTTCTCTCATTGCAGTGTTCTGACGAATTGCCTGGCATGGATACTGTTAGGCGTCTTCACTAATGTGTGTATTTTGGGCCACATATCTCCAAGGCTAGCCACAGTTTATATGGTGGCAAAAGATCCAGCAGTGAGAAAGCAAAGCCTATTTTGCAAGCACTTTTCATGTCTCTTCTTGTATCTCATTTGCTGCTTTACCATCAGCCAAGGCAAGTCTCATAGCCAAGCCCAGAATCAGTTTGGGAGAGGATTACACAAGAGGATTACAAGGGTATTAAAACAAAGGCATGATTCATCGAGAGTCATTACTATAGCAGTCTTAACTGTGGGCATCACTGTCTTCCTTGTTTTATGGTTAAATGTTAAATGAGAACTATAAATAAAGAATGCAATAAGGGTATGACAGATTTCTTATAGCTGAGGGCAACGATTCCGAAAATGTTCTATGATGCTATTTGACCTGGGAAAATTCATTTCATCTGGTGGCAAGATCATGATTTTCTAAATCTTTCCTTCCTCGTGAATACAGGCATACCTTGGAGAGACTGAGGGCTTGGCTCCAGACCAACGCAATGAAGCAAATACTGCAATAAAGCGAGTCACACCAAAATTTTGGTTTCCCAATGCACATCAAAGTTGTGCTTATTTGGTACTGTGGTCTATTTCATGTGCAATAATAGCATTATGATAAAGTCACATATTATGAGAATTACCAAAATGTGACACAGGGATATGAAGTGAGCACATGATGTTGGAAAAATGGCACCAGTAGCCTCGCTTGATGCAATGTTGTCACGAGCCTTCGGTTTGTAAACACTGCCATAACTGAGAAGTACAATAAAGCAGAGTGAAATAGAATGAGCTATGCCTGTATATTACTAGGATACTTTTGTAAAGAAGAACTGTTCAGCATCAACCATGACTATTGGCTTCTCATTCATACTGGCAAGGCAAGAGAAATGCTTCATTATTTTCCTTTAATTGCTGATTTTTAGACTAAGAGTGATATACTAGCTATTCCCAATGGTGGTCTTGACATTTGGCATCTAGTTTTTTTTTTGGCTTGCTCTTTCCTTGAGAAACACGCACTCAAGGGCTTTTAAGTATTTTTGAACTCATGGGTTTGTATGTGGGCATTCCTATCAATCACTGTCAGTGTCATTTTGATCTGCAAATTATCCTAGCTTTAGCCAGTGGACTGCCTTCAAGGGACTTGTTATTTTGACAGGACCCATTAATGTTTG